CCCCCCCCCCCCCCCCCCCCCCCCCCCCCCCCCCCCCCCCCCCCCCCCCCCCCCCCCCCCCCCCCCCCCCCCCCCCCCCCCCCCCCCCCCCCCCCCCCCCCCCCCCCTTAACATTCAACTAAGATATTAGCAGTTCATTAGCCAAGTGGTTGTTACTGCTAACATCTCGGTTTAATGTTAAGTGAATGTAAGTAAATTACTGAACAACTTGACCTTTCAATTATTCACCAGTTAATATTCTGGTTAAGTAATGTTATTTTCTATACAACATTTTTATTATTAATGGTTTGCGATATTTTATTTGTATAGATCTAGTGACACTTTGAATAAACCATCTGTATCTGTTAAAACGTGTTATCCTGATGTTGTCAAAAATGGTTTAGAACACTTGAATCAAGTATGAAATTTTCTTACGTTTTTTCTATATTTTGATTTTTGAACGTACTTTTTAATTCGTCATTTTAGCCGACATCAACCGATAAATCATTAGCTATGCAGTATAGTCGACCACAATCCTATCATTTGTCAAATTTACCTGCATCTATTCTATCACAATTAGATTCAATAAGAAATGGTAAGAAAAGAGACGATTTATAAAGAATTACCAGTTTGATTATCGAATTTTAACGTTATCAGGTGTTTTATTTTTGATAGATTTTACTTAACAGGACTCTTTTTACTAATATTGTTCAAAGTATATGTGATGCACCTGATTAAATCTATGAACATTTCTCTTTTACCAATAAAATTGTTTATTTTTGTTTAGAATTGGCTAACACACCTCACGAATCGTTATGTTAAAATACAAAACACTTCTTTCTTTTCTACTAGATCCAATCTGTAATTATTTTTTATATTATTTTTTGACTGTTCGTATCTTTTCCAATATGTGTGTGTTTTATTTTTTACTTTTATTTTTTTTTATGTGTGTGAATCTCAACAATTCTAATTTACATCATTGATTTACAATATATACATCACTGATGTTTTTTTGGATAAAAACGGACAAAAAACCAAAGACAAAATAAAACATTTCAATTGAGTAACTTGTAATAGTTATGTACATGGCAAAATGTTTAATGTAGTAATTGAATAAATTCAAATATTACAGTGTGGAGAAAGGCATAATCATATGGAGTCGAAATAGATTTGGCTGGAGTTTTTTTGCAGACGAGTTGAAGAAAAATCTTTTTTGCAAGTTACTTATAAGCATAAGGACATGACTAATTCGAAAATATCTCTGCTC